GGCCGCCGCCCCTGTCCCCCCGGCCCTGTTCCGCCAGCCCTGTTCCGCCGAGGCCCTGTTCCGCCGAGGCCCTGTTCCGACAGGCCCTGTTCTGGCCCGCCCTCTTCCGCCGCGGCCCTGTTCCGACCGGCCCTCTTCCGCCGAGGCCCTGTTCCGCCCAGGCCCTGTTCCGCCGGCCCTGTTCCGACCGGCCCTGTTCCGCCGCGCGAAAGCCCCAGGCGCCGGAACTGCGCGCCCCTCTGGCGGCGGAACCGGGCCAGGGCGGAACCGGGCGGGTCCGAACCGGGCGGTTCGGAACCGGGCTTGGTCGGAACCGGGCCTGGTCGGAACCGGGCCTGGTCGGAACCGGGCTGGTCGGAACCGGGCGTCGGCGGAACCGGGCGGGTCGGAACCGGGCCTGGTCGGAACAGGGTCTGTGTCCCAGAGGTGGGAGCGGTTCCTCCTGAGTTTTTGCACCATCTGTGGTAAGTATGCTACGGTGGATGGGCGCCATTCGGCGGCCAAGTGCGAGGGCATGTCCAGGAAAGGCCGAGAGAGCATGAGCCGCATCGAGGAGGGCAAGTACCCCCGTAGAGAAGGGGTACCGAGGCCCTGCAGGCCGCCCTCGATGCGCGGGACCTCGGAAGCCTGGCGAGAGCGTACGAGAGGGCCGCTGGACCCCAGGGAGGGGACGGTGGACCGTCCGCCACTGCTGGGTAGTTGGTCCTCCTGCGGAGGGCAAACTGGCCAGTAGCGGTGCGGGGGTGTGGCGGTGAGGCGGGGTTCACCAAAGCACCTCTGTACGGGGTCTTGCCTTCCTCTCCCTCTCCTTCTCCCCGCACGACTGTGCTTGGTCAAATGGTCAAAATGGTCCTGCTCCTCCTCTTCCTCCTCCTCCTCCTCCTCCTCCTCCTCCTCCTCCTCCTCTCCTCCTCCTCCTCCTCCTCATCCTCCCTCCTCATCCTCCTCATCCTCCTCCTCTCCCTCCTCCTCCTCCTCCTCCTCCTCCTCCTCCTCCCCCTCCCCCTCCCCCCTCCCCTCCCACTCCCCCTCCCCCCTCCCCCCTCCCCGTCCTCCCCTCTCCTCCTCCTCCTCCTCCTCCTCTCCTCTCCTCCTCCTCCTATCCTCTCCTCCTCCTCCTCCTCCCCTCCTCCTCCTCCTCCTCATCATCCATCATCATCATCATCATCATCATCATCTCATCCCTCCTCTCCGCCCTTCCTCCCTCCCTCCCTCCTCCTCCTCTCCTCTCCCTCCTCCTCCTCCCTCCTCATCCCCCCCTCCTCCTTCCTATCCTCCTCCTCCTCCTCCGCCTCCTCCTCTCTTCCTCCTCCTCCTCCTCCTCCTCCTCTTCCTCCTCCTCCTCTCCTCTTTCTCCTCCTCCTCCTCCTCCTCCTCCTCCTCCTCCTCCTCCTCCTCCTCCTCCTCCTCCTCATCCTCCTCTCATCCTCATCCTCCTCATCCTCATCCTCCTCTCTTTCCTCTCCTCCTCCTCCTCCATCCTCCTCTCTCCTCCTCCTCCCTCCTCCTCCTCCTCCTCCTCCGTTCTCCTCCTCCTCCTCCTCTTCTCCTCCTCCTCCTCGCTCCTCCTCCTCCTCCTCCTCCTCCTCCTCCCCGTTCTCTTCCTCCTCCGCAGCCATGTGCATCTTCCTCGCGGCCGCCAGTGCCCAGTGCTCTCGGCCGCCTCGTTGGAGCCGCCCGCCGCTTCCATGGAAGCGATGCGATGGCCATGGTTGCTGCTGCTGGACGTGTTCATCTGTCGCAGCGTCGCCACGCCCCACACGCGGTCGCCGACCGCACTTCATGCGGCGATGCCGTGCCCTCCAACGCGCCCGGCCCTTCCTCACCGCCGTGATGGAGGACGACGTCGTCCTCGGCTGGATCTTCTCATTCGTCACGAACGAAGGGCCCTGTCCATCGCGCCGCTCCAATTAATCCCGCTGGACGTGTGCATGTGCGACGAGCTGACGAAAGTAGCACGCTGCATCCAAGAACTCCGTGGACACCACGGACGGCAAGCGCCTCTAGGTGCTGAAACTCGCCTGCACACTCATGTCGCTGCCGTCGCTCCTGGAGCGCTTCGTGGCGATGATGCTCCTTTGCACGTGCCTTTTGCTGCCGCCACCAGTGGCGAGCACCTGCGTCAACCAATTCTCTTGCACGACCCCGTTCCTGCACTTGCCGCCGCTGGTGGCGACTTTTTGGACATCATAGGCTGGCTGAAGCACCATCGGCACCAGCGCTCGGAGGCCTTGCGTACGCCGCTAAGGCCGTCGGTTGCCGTCATCTCCGCCGCGACGACGCCGGTCTAGCCCCACCTCCTGCCGAAGGCGGCCGCTCTGCTGCTCCCGTCCCGTGATCGAGGAGGCGCAGGGCCGCTCCCTCCAAATGCTGCTGCCGGTGGCGGACAGCACGCGCTTCCCGGCCCTGAGGCTCTCCTGCACGCTCTTGCCGCTGCCATCGCTGGTGGCGTTCGTTCTCCTCGCCGTGCCCATGGCGCGCGGCACGGTGCTGGCGCCCTCCTGCTCGCTCCCGATGGCAGCGCTCGTATGCATGCCCCTCGTTTCTGAAGTGCTTCATGGCGATCTGCATGACCTCGCTCTTAAAGAGCTTCATGGTGTGCACGCTCCTCTGCATGTGCTTGCTGCCGCTGCAGGTGGCAAACATCTGCTCCATCCAGTTGTACGTCCCTGGAGAGCCGCATGGTGCTGGAGCTATTATGCACCTTTCTGCCGATGCCCTCGCTGGTGGCGTTCGTTCGCATCGCCGAGTCCATAGTGCGCTCCACAGTGATCGTGGTAAACCTCTGCCTGACCCCGCTCCTGGAGAGCTTCATGGCGATTATGCTCCTCTGCACGTCCCTGCTGCTGCCGCCGCTGGTGGCGAACATCCGCACCTACCAGATGCCGACGCTGATGTATGTACTCCTGCGCCTCACATTCCTGATGCCAAGGTATCTGGAGTTCCTGCTGGGCGCTTACTTGGCAGCGCCGCGCGGGCACTGAAGCTTAGCCCTGGGCATGTGGTAGGCATCGCCATGTGCATACGTCTCGGCGCCGCACGCGCTCTACGAGTACTGGGGCCGCTCGCACAAGTCGGACCACTTGTATCTGGCTGGTCACCGTCTGCAAGAACTTCGAGCGTCCCCCTTCCCGCTTCTGCTCTTGCGGGGGCGGACACGGGGACTGCTGGGAGCTGTGCCGTACTTGGTGGTGTGTGCACGAGCATGTCCCTGCTGTTGGTGCCGGTGGTTGTACTGCTGCTTCTGTTCCGGCTCAGGCGCATAGCAATTACCTGGAGAAGGGGGCAGGAAGCAGCTCAAGCAGCAGGTCATGGATGAAGTTGTGAAGCGCATTCACGAAAGGGCTCCCTCGCTCCACAGAGGCGCTGGACGTTCTTGCTGGACGCCCTCAATGAAGGGCCTACCAGTCGGACCTCCCACCCGTCGCCGACGCGGTCATGGAGGCGAGGCTCGCCTCCGAGAGGCGGTGGCGTGCGACCTGTTCGAGGCTCATTCCGTCTTTCAAACAGTGGCGAAGCGTCCTGGCGTGCCTATTTGCCTACCAAACAATGTTCTAAAAACCCGGTGTGGTTTCCACGACATGTTCTTAGAACATTTCTGGCTGGGACTGTGTTGTTTTCACACATCGGGCTCATGTTCTAAGAGCATCATTTTTGTTCTTAGAACAGTCGGGGGTTCTAAGAGCACCTCGTGGTAGGCATATATAGAAATGCCAGGGCGGTCGGTCCCCGCGCAAGTCTTCACAGCTGTCTCTGCGGAGGGCTGCTGCCACCGGGCTGGACCTTCGCCCGCCTGGTGAGTGCTGCGGCGCCGTGCTGCCGCCCTCCCTGCTCCACGAGGCGACGCTGGCGCGCGGTGGTGACGGCCCTTCCCGACCTCGAGGCGGCGGTCCCTTCGGGCGTGGAGATGGACGCCCCGACCTTCGACCTCGACGATTGGCCTTCACTGTCTCCCTTCGTCCTTCTGCCTGCCTTCCTGACCCTTGCGGCTCGGGCCCCTCTCGCTCTCCAGGCGTCGGTGGTTGCCTGTCCACCACCTCTCGAGCTCACCGTGCCACTCGGGTCCTCCCGGCCGCTTCTCTGCACGAGGAGCGGCATGGGGCGCCTGGGCGTAAAAACAAATCGTGCACACGAGCGCCTCCCAGAGTTGCCCCCTGACAGCCGAGGGGGGCCGCCATCCTCCACACCGCCGCCGAGCGGCAACGCCGCCGCCGCCGAGCGTGCGCACTCGACTTCGGCTTGGGCAGATTTGCTCGCCCCGCGAGGGCGACGACGACGACAGACGACGACGACAGACGACAGACGACGGACAGCGACGACGACGACGACGACGACGACGACGACGACGGACGACGACGACGGACGACGACGACGACGACGACGACGACGACGACGACGACGAACGACGAACGACGAACGACGACACCGACGACACCGACGACACCGACGACGACGACGACGACGACGACCGCGAACACGAACACGAGAGGCGGCGGCAACGCGAGCGAGAAGGTACCAGCGCGCCACGTCGCCGGAGCTGGCCACGATCGCCGCGATTCGTGCCAGGGCCGCCGCGGAGGCGGAGGAGGCCGCGGAGGCGGACAAGGCCCCCCGTCCCGGGGGCCATGCGCGACACAGGCGAGGACGAGGACGAGGACAGGGGCGCTCGTCCTCCTCCTCCTTCCCCCCCTCCTCCTCCTCCTCCTCCTCCTCCTCCTCCTCCTCCTCCTCCTCCTCCTCCTCCTCCTCCTCCTCCTCCTCCTCCTCCTGCCCTGGGCATCCTTCAGACGTGTGCACCTTTCTCGGCGAGGCCAGCGCCGGAAACTCTGCACCCTCGGGAGAGAGAGAGAGAGAGAGAGAGAGAGCGGGAAGGGCGCAGGAAGCGAAGCCCTGCTCGGGGCGCGGCCGCCCGAGCGGTGGCAAGTGCCGTGGGCGGCGCGCACCAGGCTCAAGTCGGGCTTGTCCAGCTGCAGGGTGGACAATCAAAACTAGTCAAAACATAGTCTGGGGGCCGTTCTTGTTACTATGCTTGAGTATTTGGGGGGGATCTTTTTGGGGGTCTGTTTGGAGTATTTTGGGGGGGTCTGTTTGGAGTATTTTCAGTTTTTCGCCCAAATCCTCCTGTAGGGGGACAGGCCCGACCTAGCACCAGGCTGGGCGATGCTCAGCGAAGAGGAGAGCAATTGCATCAGCGTCAGAGCGAGAAGGGCCGCACGGTCATTCGTTGTCCCTGGGTGCGTGGCTGAAGTGGGGCTCCTCGGCGCGGATTATGCTTGTCGTTGTTGTTGTTGTTGCTGTTGTTGCTGTTGTTGTTGTTGTCGTCGTTGTCGTTGTCGTTGTCGTTGTCGTTGTCGTTGTCGTTGTCGTTGTCGTTGTCGTTATTGTTGTTGGTGTTGGTGTTGGTGTTGTTGTTGGTGGTGTTGGTGGTGTTGTTAGTGTTAGTGTGTGTGTGTGTTTGTGTTTGTGTTTGTGTTAGTGTTAGTGTTAGTGTTAGTGTTGTTGTTGTTGTTGTCATCGTGTCCCCCGCGACCCGGCCCGCGACCCGCCCGCCCGCGACCCACCAGCGACCCACCCCGCGACCCGCCCGCGACCCTCCCGCGACCCACCCGCGTCCCACCCGCGACCCACCCGCGACCCACCCGCGACCGACACACACACACACACACACACACACACACACACACATATATATATATATATATATATGTATATAAATATATGGTTTGTGTTAAAGAATCGGCGCATGCGGCGGGTTGCATAAGTTGTGGAAGTTTGGCGCTTGCCGCGGGCTTCTTCAGAGTCTCGCAGACTGCCGACGTTCCCACGGCCCTCTCACTCTTACCCGCAACTGCGGGGTGCTGGGTAAACTTTCGAATATTTGTACACAGATCTCTTGTACCGGTGCCTTGGGAGCTCTACAGTCGGGGCGCTGAAGAAGGAACCCTTTTCGTTGGAGAGGGGCTCGGTGTTCCTTGATTGTTTTACAGTCTGCCTGAGGTTTCTTCTTGAGATCTTCCCTTGGAAGTCGAACTTTAATTTACAGTGGGGTGTGCATCAAGAAACCATGTGTTTTTCTTCAGGGTATCCTAGGTTTCTTCGCTCCTCGCGCTGCGCGGTGACTTCCCGCAGCCGTTGAAGAAGCTGCTGCGCTCAGGGTGCTCCAGGTTTCCCCTCAGGTGCACCTCGCGCACGGGTTGTCAGGGTGTGTTTCTTGCGAGTGTTTCTTGCGGCCGCGCCCGCACTGTATGGGAAAAGGGGGCCTCCCTCATTTAGAGTTCCTTAAGGTCAACGCCCCGGCGGTGAAGGGACCCTCTGGGGCCCAGAAGGGGCACGAGCGGTGCACGCTTCTCTTCGCCATCCCATATCTCGCACCCCCCAGGCAGCAACGCCCAAGCACTCTCCAGGCGGCACAGACAACACAAGACAGGGCAGTGTTTACACCCCCCCCCTGAAGTGGAGTGTCTCTCCGAAGGGCTTAGGCGACCCCTCCTCCTCATCCTCCTCCTCCTCCTCCTCCTCCTCCTTCTCCTCCCTCCTCCTCCTACTCCTGTCCGTAGCCATTTTGGCTCAAGCCGTTTTGCGCTCAAGCCATTGAGCGTTGCAGGTGCAGGATTCAAAACGGCACTTCGTGCCTGCGAGTCATTCAGCTTCGGAGAGGGCCGTTCCCTCACACGTTCATAATCATTTCGCCGCCATGGGGAAGGGCGGCTATGGCAAGCGTGGCCCTGGAGGTCAGGGAGACAAGGGCGGCAAGGGTGGCAAGAGCTTCCCTTCGGCGGCCGCCCTCGAGCGGGAGATCGCGCTGTTCGACGGTGGCGGCTCTCCTCCTCCTCCTTGGGCTGCACGCATTCCTGGGCTGCAACAAGATGCTCCTCCAGCCCTCTGGACATGCTCGGCTTGCGGCTGCAGGAAGAACGAGATGCGCTGGTCTCGCTGCAAGCATTGCGGCTCTCAGTGGACCCCGTTCCAGCCATACACGCCCTCCTCCTTCGGCACGCCTGGTGGAGTCTGGTCAGCTGGCTTCAGTGGCAGCCTGCCGTTCTCCCCTTTTGCTGCTGCTCAAGGGCCTCCAGGCACCTTCGCGCTCGGCGACAATGGTGGAGGCAAAGGTGGCAAGTCACCAGGCGGTCCAGTCAAGCCAGAGTCCCTTCTCTCTCGGGAAGAGCATGCGTCTTTGGCGGAGTTGCTGGCCAAGTCTGGCGACGCGCTGGGAGCGGCCAGGCATCGTGAGCTGGCCAAGCCTCCACCTGCGGTCAAGGAGCCCACCCTGCAGCACCAGGTCTCCATGGCCCACAGCAAGCTGCGCGGCCTCGAGCGGAAGTTGCAGGGCGCTGTTCAGAGGTACGAGGAGTGGTCGGCGCAGATGGTGGAACAGCGTGCATTGGTCACCAAGTTCACTGAGGAGTGCGAGCAGGCCGACGCTGAGCACCGTCGACTTGTGGCCGCCCTACATGCTCAGACGTCAGCGGCTGACTTGCAGCAGGAGCCAGTTGACAAAGCCGTGCCATGTTCGCTGTCTTCGATCATGGACGGGTCCTTCACCGACAAGCTGGTCATCGACCCCTCGGAGCTGCTCGGTGGCGTCGAGGATTTCGAGCTCTCGGAGGCCGACAAGGAGGAGCTCGAGAAGAGGGGCAACCAGCTGCGAGAGGGCATCCAAAAGTTGGCACAGCGTCTTTTCGCGCAGGCCTCCGAGACTGCCAAGAAGATCCAGGAGGCACACAAAGAGCATCTTGGACGCCTGGCCAAGAAGAGGAAGACTGACGAAGGTGCAGCTCCTGGCGATGACGGAGGTGGTGGTGCTGAGGCAGCCGCAGCCGATTCTGCCACTGGTCCTGCGGCAGCAGCAGCGCAGCCTACGGAGGTGGATGCTGAAGCTACCGCTTCTGCTGCTCTACGCCAGCGGGCCGCCAAGATCATTCAGCATGGGCAGCCTGAACAAGACCCTCCCCCTGCTGCCGCGTGAGCTTCAGCAGGGGGGCCTTCATCGTGAACACGTTCAACCCAGCGGCACGCTCACTTGCCCAGCCTGGCACATGTTCTCTCCGTTCCCCTCGGCAGGGGACTTTAATGCTCTGGGCCTCGGCCTTGCACCTCGGGGCGGAGACGAGAGTTGCCCAGGCTGGCAAGCAGAGCCCGCACCCGCTGAAGCTGCAGTCGACGCTCGCCCTCGTGGGTACCTTCAGCCCGCTGCTGACGGAGTAGGGCAGTCTTTTTCTGTCGGAGCCGTGGACCTCGAGGCCTCCGTTCCTCCTGTGCTGCATCCTGGATCCCTGGATTTTTTCTGGGGTTGTCTGGACATGCCGTCTTGCCGTGGGAACCTCCAGGGAGCGTTCGTTAAAACTGGAGGATCCCTCGAGCAGTACCCACCTCCTGCTCGAAGCAGCTTGGAATCTTTGGCTAGGACGCTCCCCCAGCCTCTGGGGGCACCCGTTTTCGGGACTGGTGAGCTTGGCGCCACCAGGGCACCATCTTGCTCGGCCTCCGTGTGCAGTCTCAGCTCTTCTGCCCATCGGCGTTCCCGCCGGACCCCTCCCCATGTGAAGCGACCGTCCGCCCCTAAGAGATCGCACTCGTCGCTCAGTGGTGCCGTCAAGCACACCCTTTGGAGGGCCAAGCGAGTTCTTGCCTCTGGCATCGCCAGCTTTGCGCGTGCTGTTCACAGTGCTGCCTCTTGCGAGGCGCATTTTTTCGGGTTTGCCAACCCGTGTGATGAATATCCAGTGCTCGTTGACCTGCAGCCGAGCAGTCCTGTTGAGTTTTTCAGCGGCCCCTCGGATCCTTCGGTGAGTTTCGTCGCCTCGGGTTCCCCTGAGGCCTCTGGAGGCCACTGCTCGGCCCTTCTGGACAGTCTTGAGATTTGCATCCACACGGTGAATTGCAACCGATGGTCGACCATGAAGGAGCTCATGGCCAAGACTCCTGCGCACATTATCTTGCGTCAGGAGCACAGGATGCGAGAGGAGGAAGATCTCTCACAAGCCTCGGCGTGGTGTGCTCGCCAAGGGTGGAAAGGCATCTTTACCGCGGCCCACGGTACCGCTTCTGGTTCCACGTCTGCTGGCACTTGCATCCTTGTCAGAGACTTTCTCGGCCTTCATGAGCCCCCTGGGGGGGCGGTGGTTGCTGTTGGCAGGGCGACTGCTGGCATAGTGCACCTCCCGCGAGGTGATCGTTTCGCTCTCTGCTCGGTTTATCTCCATCACTCTGAAGGGTTGTCTGAGCGTAATGTCGATCTCCTGGCCACTATTGGGGAACGTATGTCGCCCCTTTCTCTTCCGTTTTGTATGGGAGGGGATTACAACATGGATCCAGGCACTTTAGCCAGTTCGAAGTTCGCTGAGAAGTTGGTGGGGCTGCCTGTGGTGGCCGAGGGGCACACTCATTTTGGCGAGGGCCCTCCGTCTTCCCTGGACCACTTTGTGTTTTCGGGGGGGTCTTGGTAAAACGGTCAAGAGCTGTGAGGTCGTTCAGGACACTACCTTGAGCCCCAACAGGCCGGTGCAAGTTGCGTTGCATGCTTCGTTCGGCAAGTTGAAAGGTCTCAGCTTCAGGAAGCCCCCTCCTCTCCCTGCCACGGCTGTGATAGGACCGCGTCCTGCACCC